GAATCGGAGATAAAAACGAAAATAACAAAATCACACTAAGGCACCCCCCTATAATAGGGGGTGCGGTAGGAGTATTGACATGAGGATGGGTTGGGAGGTGGTCTCATATTCCAGGACACCTACGGCTCACAGTTCCAGGTGATCACTGTGCACACACTGACTGGCCTCTACAACACCCTGGACTTTATATAAAATAGAAAAAATAGGGAAAAAAAAAAAAACTTAGCCCCTTTAAAGCAAATTTATACCCGCTTCCGCCCCTTTGAAAGCCACCTCTCAAAAAATGAAAAGAACCTGGATTTGGGGTCCTCTGGGAGAGCGCTTTTCTTTTTTTTTTTGTTTTCTTATTAAGTCCAGGGTGTTGTAGAGCCCAGTTACAAGGCTCACATTGTTCGCCGGAAGTTGTCAGCCATGGTCGGCCTGAAGAGACGAGGCTACCTCCCATCCCATCCTCGGGAACTTGGACCGAACAGTAGTGACGGGCACCAGGGCTAGCCATGACCCAGCCCTGGTGGAAGCGGAATCGAACAAGCCTCGTCGCACGGGAACTTCGGACGCCAGGCCCAAGCAATCTCCTACTAGCCCCTAAGTTGATCATCGAGACGCCTATTATTAGTTGGTCGTGACCTCGTCCCAGCCCTATGGTTATGTATGTGTTTGTGTGTGTGCGTGGAGTCGTGGACCCGTAGCAGACTCTCCCACCCACCATGGAGCATCTGCGAAGTGAATACCAGTGAGAGGTGTTCTTACCACCACCTCTATCAGTGCCTGTGTGAGCCATGTGTAGGTAGTATGTATAGGCCCCTAGAAGCACCTTACCTCGATGCTGCAGAGGGGCGACCCTATGCGTCCTTAATCTGTTGCCAACGAATAGACAACCCTCATCTAGAACCCGGTAATCAGCTAGGGCCCCTCCCCCCCCCCCAAAGGACCCATGCCTCACTTTGTCTATCCTCGGTAGTAGGCTGCCTCCCACCTAGTAGCAGATTCCGGTCATCAGCTAGGTTACACCCGGGCGTCACTCCCGGGTGCCCGGCCGGGCATGAAAATCTTCCTAGTGGGAAACATACTGGTGGTTTAAACCGTTTCTGCTTAGCCCGGGTGCCTGCAACCGCTGTCTGGTCAGGTCACCCCGCCAAGATGGTGATGGTGATGGTGATGGTCCTGGGTGGTTCACACTAGGGTTGGGCAGAGGGGGTGGGGGTGCGCCACGCCAGCCTCCAGGGCAAACAGGTGAGAGAGGAAGGGTGGGTGGGGTCTTCAGAGGGGTTCATCTGGACAACTGAGTGGCTGAGTACTGTGGGTGACTGCCATCTGTTTAGTATCCCACCTCTACAACAACCTGGGCTTTTCAACAAACAAACAAACAAACAAACAAAAAACAAAAAAAAAAAACCGTCTCCTTCATCATCATAATCGGTTAAGAGTTTTAAGGCCTTTTGCATGCTCAAACAGAAAACCAGTCAAGCGACGTGCGTGAATGGGATGTGACAGAGTTCACCGTGCTGCTCAGATCTGCTACCCTCATATCTATTATCTGAGCAAGAACCACTTTCTTTCTTTTCTTTTCTTTCTTTCTATCTTTTTTTTTTTTTTTTTTTTTTTTTTTTTTT